ACTATATATTAAAGACTATTTAGGAATTATTGTTCCTGGTTTGAGTATTAGTGAATTTGTGATCATAATATTTTTTCAAAGAGTTCTCATGTCTTAGACATACATCGTGAAATATTTGCACCAAAGTGATGTGATGTCTGGTATTAAAATAATAGCTTTTTTTTGGTGGGTGTGGAAAATGAAAAATGTAAGTGAAATAAGATGTCATATGCTGAAACTGGATGGTAGGCATGTGAGAATTCATTATACTATTATCTTTTTTTTTTTTTTTAAGACGGAGTTTCACCATGTTCGTCAGGTTGGTCTTGAACTCCCGACCTCAGGTGATCCGCCCACCTTGGCCTCCAAAGTGCTTGGATTACAGGCATGAGCCATCACGCCCAGCCTATACTATTATCTCTACTTTTGTATGTCTTTAAGAATTTCCAAAATAAAAAGGCCTTGTCTTTTGTCTATATGAAACAAAAATATTTTCCCTTCATTTGAGGTATGCACAGAAAGGGATACACTATTTCAGCCAGCTAGCATTCTTCCTATGTAATATTAAGTTAGTCCCGAAGCCACATCATCATGGAATCTATAGTATCATTAAGGGCCTCTTGGTGGCTAAGAAGAGTTGGTGCATTGCTGTTTTTATTATAAGATTTATAGAGCTGGTTTATAATACTGTGTTCTTAATTGTGTGGGTAATATATTTAAAACACATGTGGTAGCTACAGTTCTGGTTCTATTTTGAGTGACTTTGGATTTTTTTCCCCTTTCTATTCATATAAGGTGTATCTGCATCTGGAAACGATCAAAATCTCACAAAGACAACACAATGAGTGTGGTTAATTTAAGGGATAGACACCACTGAGGTTCTAAGCAAGATCACTATCATTCAATAAACATGTGATTGGCAAAACTTCTGGTTTTGTAGAGAGCTGGAAAACTGTAACGTGGGTGGGATTTCCAAGCACATGGAAATGAAACGAATTGCAAGATGAGACTAACTTCACGTGCTCAGATGCTTAGGGCAAAAATATTTTTATTTCACTTTGCTTAAATTACAGAAAAACACTTTAAGGATGTGTTGAGCATCCCTTCCTGCTTTCACATCATGTTTCTACTCTAAGTCAGTGGTTCCCAGTTGGTGGCTGAATACTCCCTCCGGGACACCGAGTCACTGCAAAGGGTCAGCAGTGCTTATTGTGAACCCAGCACTTCCTGCAAACGGAGTTGATAGTACTGGCATATAAAGGCACTCTGTCCAAATATGTGTCTTTGTCATTAATTAATAAACCACAAATTCATTTAAAAACATTTTTACATTTAAACATTTGTACATTTTACATTATTACTTTGTTGTTATTTATTTATTTCTTTTGAAACAGAGTGTCTCTCTGTTGCCCAGGCTGGAGTGCAGTGGCATGATCTCGGCTCACTGCAACTTCTGCCTCCTGGGGTTTGAGCGATTCTCCTGCCTCAGCTTCCTGAGTAGCTGGGATTACAGACACATGCCACCATGCCCAGCTAATTTTTATGTATCTTTTAAATTAATGAATATTCAAGTACAACTATTATATATATGGTGGAGGTCAAAAAAGGGGAACCAACTCTGGTGAGAGAAAGTTTAGTAAAGCAGACATTCTCTCTCTCTCCCCGCCTCTCTTTCTCTCTGTCTTTATTTTATGTAACATAATTTTTTGATTTATTTTATAGGATATAATATAAGAGATAAAATGGTGTTGGGGATAACTGTACGCTCTCATCACATTTGTTTTATCATTTGGCTGTCAAAACTGGAAGCTCCAAACATCTCTTCTTTGCAACTTCTTTCTTACCTAATCTACTTTGATGCCCAAAGCCAAGAAGAGGTTTTACAATCTATGCACATTGTCAGGCTGAAATACTCAGGATATAACGTCTCTGCTGGAACCTTTTACAGTCATGAAAACAAAATTCAATGGTACTTGTCAGAAACACAAATGGTGTTCACAGTGACTCAGAAGGTTCTTATTACAAAGTAAATTTTTACTCTAAATTTCTCTGCTTGCCTTGTATACTTTTCCCTTCAGCACGGTATCTTTTTTTTTTTTTTTTTTAAGGGTCTTTAGTCTTGGGTTATTATGGCCAGCAAACAAGCAGATGGCATCATTGCTGAGCAGGTTTCTAGTGTGAAGGATGATACACTGAGCTCTCAAATCATAATTGAAGGTGGGATTAGTTGGAAGAGTCTCGTTTATTAACAAAATCCTCTTCATTTCTTTTATTCCCCAATAATAACTTACCACTTACTAAGCCCTTACCCTGCACCTGGCATTTTATGCTAATCTTCACAGCAACTCTAAGAGGCAAACCTTCCATATTTTACAGATGAGGAATCTGACACTTAACAAGGTTGGGTAATTTAAGGTCATGCAGCCAGTGAGTGACACAATTAGAATTAGAACCCAAGTCTATGACTCCAAAGCCTTAACTAGCACAGACAGGGTTTCTGCACCAGCTCTTAGGTTTAATGCTTTGAACCCCTGGTTATCTTTGCAAAGGGAAGAATTGCCACAAACTGAGCCCAAATAAGGACAGCTGTCTCCTTGGCATCATTAGTCACTTCTTCCTTCATCACTTCCCAGTGGATAGGAGGTTAGTAAGTGGCTTAACCGCTACCGAGATCATCCGAACACTCCATGCACAGATGGCACGGGGCTAGATGTGACTTAACCTAATTATTCTACCCTTTCTGGCTTTTACTTCTAGAAATAGTCATCAAAAAAAAAAAAAAAGGAGGGGGATGGGGGAGACTTTGAAAGCCTTATTTATGTCTTTCTACCTGAAAGAAGAGGAAAATTATTTTTGAGGCAAATGAGTTCCTAACTTTCCTGAAAGAAAGGGAGATGGTTTATTTATGATTTGTCTGAGGAGCAGTGAACGAAGAGGCCATTGCGCACAATAGCTATTAAGTCACAAGTAACGTGTGGACCCCGGAAGATTCCACTCTTTGGCATGTATCAAGGCTAAAAAAGTGGAGAATCTTCTTAGTTTCATTTCCCATCCAGCCTTTCTTAGGTACTTTGAAGATAACTCACCTCTCACTTTCTATGTGCTTTTTAGGACCCTGAGCCACATTGCCATCAGCTAAAGTCTTTTTATTTTATTTTTATTTCTATTTTGTGCTCTGTCACCTGGATTGGAGTGCAGTGGCACAGTCTCAGCTCACTGCAACCTCCCCCTCCCAGTACAAGCGATTCTCCTGCCTCAACCCTTCCCCAACCCCCGGCCCCCGAGTAGCTGGGATTACAGGTGCCCACCACCATGCCTGTCTAATTTTTGTGTTTTTAGTAGATACGGGTTTTCACCATGTTGGCCAGGCTGGTCTCGAACTCCTGACCTTAGGTGATCTGCCCATCTCAGCCTCCCAAAGCGCTGGAATTACAGGCATGAGCCACCGCACTCGGCTGATGATAAAGTCTTCAACTGGCCATTTTCCTCCGTGTATTTTTTCCTCAGCATGTCTACTTTGAGATGGATGAAAAAGCAGCCTCTCTAACCACCTCAACTTTCCAGTAGGATTGTCTGCCAGAAATAAACCCCATTCTTTAGGAAGACAAAAACCAAGTGTTCCGGGCTGACAGCTTCTGAGGTCGCCCCTGTACTATGTAAATTGTCACCACTCACTAGGTAGAGAAATAAGAGGAAGCCACTTAAAATGTTTTTCAAAAAGTAGAAAGAGTTATTCAAAACATAGAGATGAGGTCTTGTTATGTTGTCCAGGCTGGTTTTGAACTCCTGACCTCAAGCGATCCTCCTGCTTTGGCCTCCCAAAGTGCTGGGATTATAGTATGAGCCACCGTGCCTTCCTGGAAGCCACTTATATTTGAGAGTTGGGAGGAAGGGGTGGCTTTCTGGGCTCAGGGAAGCAGCAAGGCAGCAGGGCAGGGAGCAGGTGCCACTGGCAGGTAGCCAGCACTGCCGGCCTGCAGGGTGAGGGATAGGAGAAAGGCAGACCAAGAGGCTGCGTGCTTTGTGGAAATAGCTGAAAATAGACCGTGAGGTTAGGCCCTGAGAATTGGACTCTTGCTAATGGCAAAGAGAAAAGCCAAGGTCCTCCATACACAAGACCAAGGCAACAAACAGGGACTTTGCACACTCTGAGTCTGGTCTGCCTGCCTAGGATGCCAGCTCGCAGCCCCGACTTGTTGAAAGAGCTCAACTTTTTATTATTTTATTTTTTTGAGACAGAGTCTCGCTCTGTCACCAGGATGAAGTGCAGTGGCGTGCTCTCACCACAGCCTCCGCCTCCTGGGTTCAAGCGAGTTTCCTGCCTCAGCCTCCCATGTACTTGGGACTACAGGCACTTGCCACCATGCCCAGCTAATTTTTATATTTTTGGTAAAAATGGGGTTTCACCATGTTGGTCAGTCTCGTCTCGACCTCCCTCCTCAGCCTCCAAAAGTGCTGGGATTACAGGAGTGAGCCACCGCACCCGGCGACTTTTTAATAATTTTTCTTCTTGCTGAATAACAAAGCGACCTAAGTAAAAACGTGTGCGTGTGTCTGCGTCTGTGTGTGTGTGTTTCCCCTACTCGGTTGATTTGGGGTCACATTGCACTTTACACTGTGCCTCTAAATTAGCTTTAGAAGAGAAAGCAATTATTTCCTTTCTTTCTTTTTTCTTTTTCTTTCTCTGTCCTGCTCTTAGGCAAGAAAGCAATGTTTCAAATCACAAATTCAGCTGCCGCTGCTGAAAGACAGTTCGCTCTGACTATTCTTCACCAGACGAGGCAGGTTAAACTCTTGTCAGCTGTATGTTGATTTGTTAACACTACCCATGTCCCAGGTAGCAGGCTCAGATGGGTCTCAAAATAGATCAGGCACACATGGCTGATAAGATCCCAATGGGCAGAAGGTAATGTTACACCATCTATGACATAACCTCTAGAATAATCACTGCTGCCCTTTGCTCCAGAATCCAGCTCCAGTGCATGCAAAAGTGGAAAGTCCTCAAGCAGTAGGGGGTTTAGTGTGTGTGTGCTTTCCCTGAAATTGGTTAAACTTCCACTCAGCTTTGGAAGCTTCTAATAAGCGGTTCACAGCCTTTTCTTCTCTTTCTTCTCTTTTTTTGCTTCAGTGGGATGGATGGCCAAACAAACTTTCTGGTGGCCGTTAAGAAGAACAAAATTCTTTGCGGAAGCACGTGCCAGTGTTTTACAATGCACAGCACACATCGAGGCTTGTGGCACACACTGGAACACAATCGGATTCCGGAGCTCTAGGGACAAAGAGTGCTGCTAATTTGTGCAGCCGCTGCTTTAGAATGGTGAGCAGGCGGGACACTCCTCTAAGAAGAGGAAGTCAGGGCATCAGCGCAAATTGATTTTCCAGGCGAAGGAAAGGGAAAGCCCCATCTTGGAAGAAATTTCAGTTTCTGTGGACCTGTGGACCTGATGTCAGGTTACCTTGCCCCTCCCCAGCAGGAGCCAAATGCCTGCGTCTTTTCTCCTGGAAAGCTGCCTTTCTAAGCTAGAGAACTGCTGCCACAAACCGATTCTGAGAGGAAGGGAATGTACTCTTCGTATTTATAGAGAAAACCAGGAAGTAAGGAGTCGCAGCCCCGGCTTCCTGGTCGGGCTGTTGACTCACACTGTCATCCTTCAGGCAGTTTCCTTCGTTTCTTTGCACCTCAGTTTCTCAGTTAAATGAAGGATGAAAATGGAATTCCCCTAGAGGCACTGGGAATACCTCATTAATGTTTGCATTTCTTTGTGATAACTGGGATTCAAGATCTGATTCCTGCAAACCAGCATTACATGGAAGATTTCATCTTTATTGTCAACTCTAGGCCATCTTCAAATTAGTCACCTTTCCCACTACTATCCATTCCATGATGTCCCCTTCCCACTCGGCCTGTTCTTTTCTGTGGTGACTTCAAATGATGTCATTTGCATGAGGTTTTGTCTCTGAAGAGAGGAGGCTTTAGTTTCTCTTGGTTCATTCCAGAACATGTGTCCTTAGCTCACCACAGGCTTGACTGGTTGTGGGAGATAGGATTGAGAGGCCAGGAATGGGATCTCAGTCACAACCTCCGTTCTCTTTTAAGGAATTTAGGTTGTCCCTTTGTACTTGGTTTTGTTTTTCCCCTTCAACGTGTCGACCTCATTGTTTGACTGGGGTGAACACATCACTTCCTCTTTGGGGGTCTGTGTTTTGTCTCCTGCTGGGTTTGAAATGTCATGTAATTTGTTGGGTTTTCACGGGATTATGTTTGGAGTTTGTTTGTTTTTTTGGTGTTCCCAAATCATCACTGTTCACCAGAACCCTCCCTCTTCTACCTCCTGATTAATGATGTGATAGAAATGTGCACTCCTCAGCATTTACCAAGAGAGACACATTCATCTTGAACTGCTCTGTCTGTTCTGTTGCCTATGAAGGGAGTTCCCCTGCAAGGACAAAAAAAAACCAACAAACCCCACAGTGCTGTTATCTTTCCTTCCTGCCGTGCGGTCAGGCTGCTCTGTCACTTTGCTCATTATCTGGCCAAACTTCTTCACTTCAGAGTGGATCTCCATGCTCCTCATCCGGAATCTGGTGCAAGCCTCAGGTCCTTCTCTCTTCAGACTCACCAGCCTTTCCTCAGCTCCTCATTCCTAGAAGCAACATTTATCTGCTATAGTAAGTATATTTTGGGAGATGAACTTAGAATTTATTATTCACTCATCCCACAAGCATTATTAATGTACTGCTACATGCCAGGCACTATACTAGACATCGGGTGTGTGATAAGAATAATGAGGCCAGGTGCAGTGACTCACCTGTAATCTCAGCACTTTGGGAGGCCGAGATGGGAGTATGGATTGAGGCCAGAAGTTCGAGACCATCTTGGGAAACATAGCCATCTTTTGTAAAGACCCTGTCTTTACAAAAAATAAAAATTAAAAAAATTAGCCAGACATGGCAGTGTGTGTGTGCCTGTAGTCCCAGTTACTCGGGAGGCTTAGGTGGGAGGATCCCTTGAGCCCAGAAGGTCGGGGCTACAGTGAGCTGAGTTATGCTTATGAACTACAAAAGGGCCTCTTTTGTAGTTCACTCCAGCCTGGGTAACAGAGAGAGACGCTGTCTCTAAAATAAAATAGGCTGGGTGCAGTGGCTCACACTTGTAATCTCAGCACTTTGGGAGGCCAAGGTGGCCGATCACAAGGTTAGGAGTTCAAGACCAGCCTGGCCAACATGGTGAAACCCTGTCTTTACTAAAAATACAAAAATTACCCAGACATGGTGGCGGGCACCTGTAATCCCAGCTACTTGGGAGGCTAAGGCAGGAGAATTGCTTGAATCTGGGAGGCGGAGGTTGCGGTGAGCCGAGACTGTGCCATTGCATGCCAGCCTGGATGACAGAGCCACTCCATCTCAAAAAAAAAAGAAAAAAGAGGCTGAGTGCGGTGGCTCCGGCCTGTAATCCTAGCATTTTGGGAGCCAAGGTGGGTGGATCACGAGGTCAAGAGATGGAGACCATCCTGGCCAACATGGTGAAAACCTGTCTCTACTAAAAATACAAAAATTAGCTGTGCGTGGTGGCACCCACCTGTAGTCCCAGCTACTTGAGAGGCTGAGTCAGAAAAGTCACGTGAACACAGGAGGCGGAGGTTGCAGTGAGCCGAGATCATACCACTGCACTCCAGCTTGGTGACAGAGTGAGACTCCATCTCAAAAAATAAAATAAAAATAAAAAATGAGATAAAATAATGAGACTCATCTTCTGCTTCTAAGAGCAGGGCTACAGGCAGAAAAGGGATGGCGGAGGTGCAAGTTGGGATGGAGAGGGCTGAGAAAGACCTGCAGAGTCATGAGTTACAAGGCAAAGAGAGGCCCTTTTGTAGTTCATAAGCATTATGATTGGGTTTTTGCATGTATGTGAAACCTTGTTAAGATGTTGGCACTTTACCCATAAGACATGAAACAAAAGCACACACCAGAAAACAGTGCAACAAGAAAGATTTCTGCCTTGAATCTAGTAGTGATAATATTCATTGCAAAACTTTACTATTATAACAAAACATTCCCCTGAACTCTTTTTTTTTTTTGAGACAGAGTTTCGCTCTTGTTACCCAGGCTGGAGTGCAATGGCGCGATCTCGGCTCACCGCAACCTCCACCTCCTGGGTTCAGGCAATTCTCCTGCCTCAGCCTCCTGAGTAGCTGGGATTACAGGCACGCACCACCATGCCCAGCTCATTTTTTTTGTATTTTTAGTAGAGACGGGGTTTCACCATGTTGACCAGGATGATCTCGATCGCTTGACCTCGTGATCCACCTGCCTCGGCCTCCCAAAGTGCTGGGATTACAGGCATGAACCACCGCGCCCAGCCCTCCCCTGAACTCTTACTGTGTGCCAAGCACAGTGCTCAGTAATCGGAATCCTTAGCCCTTTATGGTGAGTTCTGTATTCACCCTTATTTTACAGATGAAGGAATGGAGATTTGAAGAGGCTAAGTAATGAGTGCAGGGTGATGAGCTAATATCAAACTCAGGCATTGAGGCTATTCTGTCCAGAGAAAGAAACACATGCTATGGACTTTCTGGACAGGGTTCTGCTATACTTACACAGCACTAGAAATTAAGTCCTCTCCTCTTTGTTTCTCTGAAAAGAAATACTTTGCTTCCTGTGTTCTGGAAGGACACTGAATGAAGCCGGTTGTGGTTTTTTTCTATTTTTTTTCCCTTCATTATGAAGCTTAGTTTGGCTGGATATGCTGGTTGTGTTTTAAAGCATGTCCATTAAAGCATCTTTTGGCTTCTGAGCCTTTAGCAGGAGGCTCCTGCTATGTTTCACATGACCCTGTTTTAGTGAGCTCTCTGTTGGCCTTAGGGGAAACATGGGGCCATTGTGCTAATCCAACGAGGAGCATCTGCTTAGAAAGAGATTTTTTTGGGTGATGCCAGTGGCTGAGTAGCTCTCCCTTCATCATAAGGAAAAAGAAGTCTTTCTAATACATTTAAAATTTAAAACTATTAAGAACTTCTTCTTGACCTCAAATGAGCATCCTTGAAATTGACATGCTTGCCAAGGTCTTGGATGGTGTCTTTTGCTATAGTTAAGGGGCACATCATCACAGTTCTTATCTGATTTCTCTACATCATTTGCTGCTGTCATCTTTTAAATGAATCTGTTCTCTTGGTTTTCTTCCTCTCTCTCTGATCGATGCTTTGCTTTCAGGGTGGGTGGTTTCCAAAGATATATTTATTCTCTCATTTCAAGGTACTCTCATTTTCAGACATCTCATTCATGATCAGGGCTTCTACTGTCAGCTCTATGTGAATGGCTTCGGAGTCTCTATCTTCAGACTGTATCTTTCTTCTTGGGTGCACATGTATGCACAAGGCTGTGGCTTGAGTAACCTCAAACTCAACAGGTCCAACACCTAACTTGTCCTCTTTGCCCCAAGCCCTCTTGCGTTATCCCTGAGAAGGGCACTACTGGCCATCAATTGGCCAAAGCTAGGGCCTTTGGCATCATTCTCCATTCTTCCCATTCCCTCGCCCAACAACAGCTAATCCTTTAACAAGTTCCATTCCATAATGGTGCCTATCTATTTCTCTTCACCCTGTCACTGCCACCTCAGTTCATGCCATCATCATCTCTTCCCTGTGTGGATTCTTGATCCTGCCAATCCATGCAACTTGGATGATGTGAGTCCCCTTCTTAAAACTCTCCAAGGGTTGCTACTGCTCTTAAGATAAAGTTTAAATGCTTTGGTAGGGCTCACAAGGCCCTGTATGGCCTGGCCTCAGCTTTTGCTCTATGCCCTCCCATCACACTCATAATTCTCCACTTTCATATGCTACATCTTGCCTATGTAGTCTTCAGTACATGCTAATCCATCTGCCTGGACTGTTCTCCCCTCTCCTGGTATGCTCTCACTTGGCCAATTCCTGCTTATATTTTAGATCTGAAGCTTAGATGTCACTTAGATATGACCTCCCAGACTGGGCTAGGTGGTTCTCCTCTCTCCCTATCCTCAAACTCCCACCCGCTGGGTCCTCTTTCTTCCTATTAGAGCATTTGTCACTGAATATGAACTGTTTTTTGTCTGTATTGTCTAATAGGTAGAGTTCTGTGAGGCCACAGAGCTATCCTATATACCATTATATCTCTAGAGGCTTGAACACAGTAGGGTAGAGGCCTGTATTCGTTATCTTTGGCTGTATAACAAATGACGCTAAAACCTAGTGGCTTAAAACAGCAAGCATTTATTACGTCACAGTTTTTTGTGGGTCAGGAATTTGGGAGCAGCTTAGCTTTCTCATGAAGTTCCAGTCATCTGAAGGCTTGACTGGGGCTGAATGATCTTCCAAGATGGCATATTCACATGGCTGTTGGCAGGCGGCCTTAGCTACTGACCACTATGTGGGCCTTTCCAAATGTCTACTTGAGTGTCCTCATGAAATGGCAGCTGAGCTCCTCCAGAAAGGGTGATCTAAGGGAAAGAGCAGAGACCACTCTGCCTGCTATGTCCCAGACTCACTTGGATCATTATTTTGGCCATTTTGGCAACATTTAATTTGTTAGGAGAGACTAAATACAGCCCACACTTAATAAGTGTCTCAAACAAAATGTACATTTTCTCATTTTATTATTTACTTATTTTCGAGACAGGGTCTTGCTCTGTTGTCCAGGTTGGAGTGCAGTGGCATAATTACACCTCACTGCAGCCTCAACCTCCCAGGTTCAAGTGACCCTCCCACCTCAGCCTCCTGAGTAGTTGCCTCCTGACTATAGGCGTGTGCACCATCATGCCTAGCTAATTTCTTTGATTTTTAGTAGAGATGAGGACTTGCTATGTTGCCCAGGCTGGTCATGAACTCCTAAACTCAAACAATCCTCCTGCCTTGGCCTCCCAAAACTCTGGGATTGCGTGCATGAGCCACTGTGCCCGGCCTTCATTTTTTGCATCTTAAACCAGCAACCCCCAAATGTCTTGTGTGTGTGTGTGTGTGTGTGTGTGTGTGTGTGTGTGTACAGTATACATTGCCTTCCCCTGAAGTAGAAAGCTTGCTAGGAGCAGTTCCAGCAGTTGAAGATAAAGGTGGCGGTGGTGTGTGTATGGTTACTTGACATTTTACAGAAAGTTTCTTGTTGTCATCTTTTGCTTTATGACAGTGGGTAGAGCCACTCCACTGTGATCAACTGATTGGAGAGTTTTGTGTACCCACCGGAGGTGGGGGGGAGAGAGAGAGAGAGAGAGATAAAGAGAGAGAGAGAGAGAGAGAGAGAGAGGCCAAAACTTACGCTGGGGTAGAGGTTGGATATTTGATGCCTGAATCATGGAGTGCAAAAGGAGGAGGCATGCTCTCAATTATTTGAATAAGGAGAGAAAAGAGAAAGAAATTTTTGTTTTTAGATGGGTGGCAACATCTGAGGAAGGAGCACAGAAATAAGGCAACATTTCTCTCTTTCTCTCTCTCTTTTTTTTTCTTGAGACAGAGTCTCACTCTTGGAGTGCAGTGGCATGATCTCAGCACACTGCAACCTCCACCTCCTGGGTTCAAACAATTCTCCCGCCTCGGGTTCTGGAGTAGCTGGGAATACAGGGACCAGCCACCACATCCAGCTTATTTTTGTATTTTTGGTAGAGATGAGGTTTCACCATGTCGGTCAGGCTGGTCTCTCTCGAA